AAATGAACAGTTGATTAAAATGCTAAATTTGGTATTTCATTGTGTGTGTAAATGAATAGGCTTGGACTTGGTGCTGAAACCCAAAGCAGGACAATAGAGACACCAGAATAACAATATTCATGATTCTTAATCTTTTAGTTGTATATGCTTGCACTCTTTCACTAACTAGATATCTTTAAAATAATGTGGGCCCCCTTTTACTGGTAACATCAGACATCTGGCATTATCAGGACCCACAAATATTCCTCAATTGCATTATTATTATACATTATATAATAGTTTAATGTAGTACTGACACTTTCTCTTCTTAATTCATATTTTGGGTGAACTATACACAATGTATATTGTCACTATCCACATTACACAGTTGCATTTTGGTATTGCTGCACCCCTCGTGAATAACCTTTCAATGGAGGAACTTTATCAAAAAATATCTGTGTTTTGAAGATGGAAGTGTTCAGTGCTGTACCTCTTGCTCCACATACTGCAGAAGGTAGACCCATCCATTAAAGTCTTCCGGATTCTCTTCCACGACCTTCGAAAGACGCTCGTACTCTGTGGGAAACTCGGGTTCTTGCGGTTCGGCTGGTTCTGCTGCGGTTTCGGCTCCTGGTTCTGCGGGCACTTCTTTGGGAGCATCTTCCAGCTCCATATTGGAAGGGCTCTCGGAGTCTCCCTCCTGTTTCACCGGATCCGGCACCATCGATTGGTCCACGACGTCCCCGTTCGATTCCGTCTGCTGCCTGTCAACCGGGTCTGAGTTTTCCAGAACGGGGTCAGACGGACTGGTCTTCGGGTCGATGTTTTCCGCTGCGGACTTGAGATGCTCCAGCGAGAACAGCTGTAACTGCTCGTGGGACTCGTGGGTTTCCGGTTCTGGGGGAGGAGCCGGCGCCGTGGTCCAGTCGGGTGCGGTCGGTTCTGAGCCCTCCATCGCAGACGAGTCCCCATTATCAGGGGCATTCGTGTCCAACATCCCGGTCATGGGCTCAGCTGAAACAAACAGATGGGAAAACGTTAAATAAAACAGGGTTTTGACCCCCAAACATGATCATGCCATGTGTTTTTGTAAGAAAAATATCCATATTTATTTCAGTTATATAAAAAAATATCCCGTCTCTTCCCTGCTTTATAACGATACCTCAGATTTTGAAGCCCAAAAAAGTGCTTCCATCCATCATAAAAGTAATCCATATGACTACACATGTTAATAAAGGTTTATGAAGCGACAACATGCGTTTTTGTAAGTGTTACTAAACTCACATACAGCCATTACCGGAAGCAAGTCGTTATAGTTTATAAAGTTATAGATATGGATATTTTTCTTACAAACACGCTTCGCTTCAGAAGGCCTTTATTAACCCCTGGGGTCATAGTTCATTATGATGGATGGATGCACTTTAATGGGCTTGAAAAAATTAAGGCACCATTTACTCCCATTATAAAGTTTGGATTTATTTCATATACGGTAGCCTAACCGAGTAGAATAAAAGAATAAAAAGTCAAATACACCCTAAATGCCTTGAGGGAGAGTAAACCCGAAGACAACAATACTTTCTCAATACTTTTGCTGGCAAAAAAAAGTGTCAGTTGTGATGCAATATGCGCTATTAACACAAGATAACGCCCAATTTTCACATATTTTAAAGCTTTGGGGTTTCAGCCTTTATAAACAGCAGGTTTGACTGATATGAATCTACAAACTCTGTGCAAACAGCAAGTTTCCATCAAAACAACTCGGATGTTACAAAATGTTAATTAAACACACACACAAACAAACAAACAAAAAACCGTGAACGGAGATGAAAACTTCAAAAACCTTGAGTGTTTATTTATGGTTGTATATTGAATGTTTGTCGCGTTTCCTGGTCAAACGACACACGATGGTTCGTCGAAGTTAACGTTAGTTTGCTAAAAAATGGTTCGACTTTTGATCAAAACAGGCTTTATAAACGCGCTCGATTTGTTTTATACGGCTAATTAGTTTTCAAACCAGGAAAATATGTTTTAAAATTATGAAAACGTTTTCAATAGCATCGGTCTGGTTTCGGCCTGCTCTCTTCACGCGTTAGCTGAACTGCTAACGACCGACGCCGTTGATTTACCTCAGAGTGTTCTGGAGAAGACCGCGCGCTAATCGCGGGAAATACACGGAGAGGAGAATACTTACCAGAATCTTCCATGAAACTGGGTTAAAACGGCAGATATTTGCACAACTTCTTCGAAGTTTTTATGCGGCTGATAACATGTGGTCGAACGGCCGCGCTCTAACGCATTCAACACCAGCTGCGACGAGGAAAGGACACGAATGCTTTGCGCATGCGCACTGCGTGCTACGCAACTCAAAACACAAAATAAAAGGCGCCGCGGCACAATTTGTTAAACTCAATTTGGGATAAACTCAATTTGGGATAAATATGAAAGCCAATTTCCGCCACACAAAAATGCTTAAATCTTGATTATATCATAAAAAGTCAAAATTATGGAATACTAGATACGTCATATTTATTTTGTCATACCTATGACAAAAAATCAAAATTGTGACATAAAGAGTCATATGACACACAAAGACACAAATTATATCTTTTTATATCATTACGAATTTTAAACCAGAAATTCAGCTTTATCTGCATTCAAATCTAGTCTTAAAACAAATCTCTTTTGTTGCCTTTTACAAAGTACTATTGTAATGTCTTGTTTTATTCTTCTCTGTTTTTCTTTTATCTGTTATCTTATGGTCTTTGTTTTGTATTGTACATCACTTTGGTCTGCCTTGCTGTCATTGAGTGAGCTTGAAATAAACCGAACTGAATGGAATTCAACTCAAAATTATGATTTACAGTAGCATTATATGTCGCAGAAATGGGATAAGACTAGACAAAAATTGAAGTTTATTTGAAACAGCACTATGGAAGTTACATTTGCGTAACCTTTTTTACTTCATTTAGCACTTGCCTGGTTAATTTGTGAAATTTAGTTCACTGTATATAGAATGCATTCAGTCTAAATGTGTTATAATATATTATAAATACTGGCACAGCTTTACATTTTTGTTAAGATGACCTAAAACAAAAGATTTTGTTTCTTTAATTATTAAACAAAACATATTGTATAAACACTGTAAGCTGGTATGTTGAAAGGTCTTATTGTGAAACTGATATTTACTTATACAATGTTTTATTAACAAATAAATGTTGGGTTTTTCCAGCTCATGGATGTAAATCGCCTCTTAAGTTCAGGGCTAACATATAAGGAAGTTATTTTTGACATGCAAATTCTTTGAAAATAACACAGACATCAAGCATTCATAGCTAAATTGCTGGTTTGTTTATTTGCTATACGATATTTATTTCCTAAGCCGATTATTCGGGGAGAAAATGCAAATATAGATGTATTTAAAAGGTTTGTATAGTGTTTTATTTAAACAAGGCATTTTTTGAAATCGATGGCACGTCATAAGCTCCGCCCCTCCGCGAAGGACAGTTATGCAAAAACTCTCCGGTTTATGTGTCGGTCGAATATCAAAAAGTTTTCGTTGCAATGCATATCTGAACGCCTTTAAAAAAAAAAAAAAAAAAGGGGGGGGTGCCTTTAAAAAACAACCCAATTTTTTCCGACTTTCAATGGCCTCCATTTCATTCAGATCGCGTCTATGAATCCTACTATAGCGAAGGTTCACGTTCATCTTTTGAATATTAATTAGATCATGCGTGCCACCGTCGCTGGATTATTAATTAAAGGGACAGCTCACCCAACCAAGAAAAATTGGTCATCCCTCAAGTTGTTCCAAACCTGTATGAGTTTCTTTGCTCTGCCGAACACAAAATAGTTTAAAGAATGTTGATAATAAAACAGTTGACGGACACTATGGAAAAATACTATAAACTCAAATTTCTGGTTAACCAACAGTCTTTAAAATATCTTATTAAAGTAATAAGCCCCTTGAAGAAAAGGGTTTATACATGATGTTAATTTATAATGATATTCATTTAATAATGTTAAGGGGCTTATTGCTTTTTATAAAAGGGTTTATAAATGATGTTCATCCCATAATGATGTTAATTTTAATATTTATTTTATTCCTAAAATAAACAGCAGCAACAAAAAAATAACGTATAACACATTTATTCCTCCAAATGTAGCTCCAAAGTGGTTGCTAGCAACACATGCCGCAACAAAGCATCACAAACAGCAGTTGCGCAGTAACACTAATGCGCTCACAGGTGTGTGTGTGTGTGTGTCTCTGTGTGTGTGTGTGTGTGTGTGTGTGTGTGTGTGTGTGTGTGTTGAGTGATTTACAATGGCTTCAAAGGCGTCTCAACCAATCAGAATCAAGGACTGGAAATATCTGCTTTATAAAATATTTTAAAGAATGTTGATGACCAAACAGTTGACGGACACTATGGAAAATGGGTGGTTACCAACATTCTTTAAAATATCTTATTTTGTGTTAAGAAGAAATACATGACGTCTAGCAGTTATTCAAAGGATATTCAGTCTTTTCAATATCAAATTAAGTTGTTATGTAAAAAGTTATGAACGGTCTAAAAGAAAAACAAATTGTGGTCTAACTTGTAAGACTATAGTCTTAGCGGTTTATGCAACAAGACATTCTGGTTAAGGTTAAGTTTGACATATAACGCTTTCCACATTTGCAGTGTTGGGGAAAGTTACTTTTAAAGTAAAATATTACATTATTGCATTTCCTAATCCACCCACCTTTTGCCTCCCATTACTTTAAGTAGAAATAAATTACACATGATTAGAAATATGTTTGATAAAATCTTATTCCCTAACATCCTATATAAATTAAACATCCCAAGACGGCTAGCTTATTTTGATGCGTAATCAATTCCGGTCTGTTAAATATTAACTACGACATCGCTGACGCAGCCGCAATCCGACCAATGGCTAAACACGCCTCATGAATATTAATCAGCAGTCAGTGCCTTCGCCGTAGTAGGAAGCGAACGCCAAATGGCGCAGTGCGCGTGAGCGAGAAACAGGAAGCAGCGCTGAAGCGGGTCCGCACCTTTTCCGGTAATATCAAGAGGAGAAGCAACACGACCGGGACCGAGAGAACGAGGACCAGAGAGAACCGAGCCGACAGAACCGAGCCGGGGCGCGCGACCGGGCGGCTGATATACGAGGTGAAGCGGCGCGCGCTGAGGCGCGTTCGCGGTCGCGTTCAGTACGCGTACGGAAACTCACGTACAAGAATAAAGTTAGTTGTGTTGGACACCCCTCCCTTTTTCTCATCTACTCTCTCTTGTGTTTCAGGGACAGAAGAGGGGAAAGAGGAAGAGGGCTTGTTTGGACCAGAACCAGAACTGATGATCTGAAGTGTGTGTGTGTGTGTGTGAAGGGAATGAGCGCGAGCGAGCGGCGACCCGACAGTCGGTACACAAGAAGGAAGTCAGAAAGAAAAGGCCTATTTTTGTTTTTTCTTCATTCATTTTGAGGTCTGGTCACATTTCCCAACTGTATTAGATCCAAATTTTTTATTTATTCAAGGAAAAGCGTTGAGTCATATGTATTTCTGTGAAGCTGCAGGACCAAAAAAACACACTTTTTGCATCACACATACTATATATGCACAGCCTACAAAATGGGGAAGATGCTTTCCAAGATATTTGGCAACAAGGAGATGAGAATATTAATGCTTGGACTTGATGCGGCGGGAAAAACGACGATTCTTTACAAACTCAAACTGGGACAGTCGGTCACGACCATCCCGACCGTCGGGTTCAACGTGGAAACCGTGACGTATAAGAACGTGAAGTTTAACGTGTGGGATGTGGGCGGTCAGGATAAGATCCGGCCCCTGTGGCGGCACTATTACACCGGCACACAAGGACTGATCTTCGTAGTGGACTGTGCGGATCGGGACCGGATCGACGAGGCCCGACAGGAGCTTCATCGCATTATTAACGACCGCGAAATGCGCGACGCCATTATCCTGATATTCGCCAACAAGCAAGATCTCCCCGACGCCATGAAGCCGCACGAGATCCAGGAGAAACTCGGCCTGACCCGGATCCGAGACCGCAACTGGTACGTTCAGCCGTCCTGCGCCTCGACGGGCGACGGACTCTACGAAGGGCTCACCTGGCTCACGTCCAATTACAAATCATAATGCGAGTCAAAACTTAGAAGCAAATTAACCAATAACTCGTTGAGTTTTCTTTTCTTTTTCATACGCCCGCTTTCTTTCAGCACTCTGTATAATCCTTCTGTTACGTTTCGAATGTTCGTAAAGTAGTGCCGTGCGACCGATTAATCGCATCCACAATGAGCGTTTCGTAGATATGCAAATATTTCTTATGTATTTATATATGCTAAATAATTCTACACCTATATTATGTGAGCAGAAACTTGTATTTCGGATGCGATTAATCGGTCGCTACCGTAAAGTATTACTTAACTCAGAAGCTGTGGGAGGGGTTTGTTTTGTTTGTTGTTTGTCTGAAGACCCAGTTGTTCTAGTCCTGAAATGGCAGCTTGTTTGTTTACCTCTGTGCCATCATCACTTATGCCGAATGTACGGAGAATAGCTGCAGTGCCGAGCTTTTAAATAAACTCACCAACCAAGCAGATCCAGTGTGTGTTCCCTGAAGATGCACTTTCCCCCTGAGCTGCTGGTGATGTGAAGCCAGGGGAATTATGGGTAATGAAAACCAGTTTTTCTGAATGGCGAGCGGTGTCAGGCCTGGTTCTCTAAACTGCACCGCTCACATCGAGACTTTTTTGTCTCATGATAAATTAATGCTTTGTTTTATTGTTTTCACTTCTATGTTATGCTGAAGAAATAATAAATCTGTATATATAAATATACATATATATCTCAAGTATAAAGTGATTGTATCTTCTTGACGTGGAAAAACGCGCCAGTGCTTTAAAACGCACAGTGCAAGTGTGTTTGTATGGTGATTTTCACGACATGTATTGTTTAAATGTTAAATTTAGTAAGTGTTTCAGAGTTATCATGAGTTTCAACGCCGCGAGTTTTTTGTAGGATGTACGATATATCGGCCGATACCGATATGGCGGCCGATATATCGTACATTCGCACTGTTCAACATGATGCTTTTGACCTGAAACTTAAAATTTGATCGTTCACTTGATCCACAAATGCACACAAAACACAAATTTTATAAAGTAACGAATCCTTCCCTCTTGCGTTAATTTGACCCAGGAATGGTTCAGTTCACATAGAAGAACCTATAAATGCTCAAAACTCAAACTTTTCCAAACAACGATTGTATAATGTGTACGTGTGTGTGTGAACCGGCTTTAGGACCCATCGGAGCAGCTCATCTGCATATAGAGATATGCGGCCATCTAGAGTTATGAAATATCATGTGTTATTATTTATTATTATAAGATATGTAGAGCTTAATTAAAAGAGTTATGCATGAAATTGTGAGTTATTTTGAATTTAAGTTGAAAGAATGTGCTTAAATTACTATTTATTTATTGATCAAATCTAGTAATTTAAAGGTAAATGAAAAAATAACAGCATTAAAAAATAGAAAACATTATCGAAATGAAATGAAATATGCTTTCTGGACAAAAAAAGTATAATTTTAGGACTTTTAATAGTGAGACTTGTTTTTTGTAATCAGGCTCTCTTTAGAGTTATTGACCGATATATCGGTTATCGGCTTTCAAATATTAAGAATTATCGGTTTCGGCTAAAATGTTGATATCGGTGCAAAAACTGTGTCAGTTTACAGTTATATCTGATATTGAGTGTATATATTTAAAGTTCATCATTAGATTATGAAGACAAGTTTTGGTCATGCTGATGTTCTGCAATCTTTCAATAACAAACACCTCAAAAGTTTATTAAATGCCGTCGCCAATGCTTTCATAACTCATATTTCATTGACTAATGCTGAAAACAGGTTCTTACATGTAACCCCTTAATTAAAAGTAAAAGGTTAAAATTAAGACTGTTTTACAATATTTATTTATTTATTTAATATCTATTGTCTTAATGCAACACATGATCTCTTACTGTGTTTTTGATTTTGCTGTGAAATGCAACCTGATGATGACTATTTTATTTTAAGTCATGGCCTCATTTAGTATGCGCGGTTCTATGAATATGCAGATGAGCCCCGCCTCCACTCACTCACTCAGAGATCCACTGGTTGGCGATCACCCGTTGATCTGATTGGTTACAAGGTGGTTTGTGACGTCAGAAACACCAGCGATTTCAAAGCGTGTTTTTGAGACTGTCTTTTGTTTCAAGGAGGAAATACTCAGCAATGCTGTCCACTTATCAACGCACACATGGTGTGTGTTAAAGCGCATTAAAAACAACACATAAACAATTAAACGCTAGATTTACACCACAGTTTAAGATTAATTAATTTAAACTATAACATTATGTCATGCTGTGATGATTCTCAATATGAACGGAACCCTTTAAGGTTCTTTATAGCCATTATTATCAATATTTTTTTATTTTTTTCTCTCCTTTAATGCTTTATTCTTTATTATTTTATTGTGTGTTATAGTTCCTCTTGCATTAGTGTGTGAATCGAGATGAAACATTCCAGCACCGACATCTGTGATAAACTAAAACATAAAGACACAAACACACATATACACACACACATGATTTGAGGAGTCATTCATGTCAGAGTTTGGGTTTGTTGAGATCACGCTATATTGATAAACTGTCATCTTGTGTCGTTACTGTTTCATATTTCTGTTCTCAGATCTGCTGTTATTATTATTATTATTATTCTGTTCTCTTTCCCACAAACAATCCCTGAAAGAGGAAACCATGAGCTCCGTTTCCTTCCTTCCTGTTGCAGGAATGCTGAACTCAAGCTTTAGCGATCATAAATAATGTGCAGCCGAGATTTATAACTACTAATCACTCATTACAATCCAGAACAGAAGACGCATTAAACACTCACACTCCAATATATGAAATAGCAGAACATGAATCTCCCAAACACTGACGTCACGAGAGAACGCCACGGCCAACAACACTATTCAAAATATATTCTTAGTATTGATTTCAGTAAGTTGCTTCACGCATAAACTATGTGTATTTATGCGCCTTAATCTTAGTTAATAATTAAAGTTTTAATTAAAGTTAATAATACTCAAAATGTAATTACAACCACTTCATGTTTTATATTAATGACCACTTTATTGGACTTTATTTGGGAGAATACCCCAAAAAAGTGAATTTGAGTTAGTATTTATAATGCATATTATTTTATTTAGTCTACAATGTTATCAAATCAAAACAAAAACCACAAAGAAAAATGTTCTGGATTTTTTATTGCATTAAAAAATAATTAAAAAAATAAACAAGTGGTTTAAAATGCATAGCCTATTTTATTTAGTCTATTATGATATAATAATAATAATAATAACTTTAATTTATATAGCGCCTTTCAAAGTACCCAAGGACGCTTAACAAAGGACATGAAATGGGAGGGGGGAGTTAAGGAGGAGGCACGGGGCCGAGGCAGCTAGAGCCCAAAGGCCTCAGTGAAGAGGTGTGTTTTGAGTTGATTTTTGAATGTTGAGAGTGATGAGGCAGAGCGGATCTCGTGGGGAAGTTTGTTCCAGAGTGACGGAGCACCAACGCAGAAAGCTCTATCACCAAATGTCTTAAGCCTGGACTTAGGGACAGCAAGCAGGTTCTTGTCAGAAGAACGCAGGGACCGTGATGGAGTGTAGGAATGGAGAAGATCAATAATGTACTGGGGTGCAAGTCCATGTAGGGACTTGTATGTCAGGAGGAGGATTTTATATTTGATGCGGTACTTTACTGGCAGCCAATGTAGCTTCGTAAGGATAGGAGTAATGTGAAGACCAAGTTTTGTGCGTGTGAGCATCCTAGCCGCAGAATTCTGCACATACTGAAGTCTATCAGTGGCTTTGCTGGGTAGACCGAGCAGGATACCATTACAGTAGTCAAGTCTAGAGGTGATGAATGAGTGGATGAGGGCCTCAGCTACAGAATTGGTGAGGCACTGTCGGAGTCTGGAGATGTTCTTGAGAATGGATATATTCTTGAGATATGGAAATAAAAAATAAATAAGTAAAAATGTATGTCGCCTACAACAAAACTAAATGATGCAAACACTAAAAATCATAAAAAAATATAATGAATATTATTTTATTTAGTCTATGCAAATAAAAATCAAAACCACAAAGAAAAATGTTCTGTTGCCTACAGTGGAACTAAATTATGCAAACAATAAAAATTGCATTAAAATCAATCCTTTATGAAATAAATCAAGTGGTTTACTGTAATTTCCTCTTTTAAGCATATTATTTTAAGCACTGTATTAATAATTACATCTGCGGTATTTGTTCGATTTGCTCGACTATTAAAACATAGCTCTTGAAGGATATTTAGTTTCTTCTCTATGATGCATGAGATGGGCTTATGCTAGACTTCAGAATCATCAGACACATTTTTACTCTATTTTACAGTGACGTAATGCTCAAAGGCAATCCGGGACACGTCATTGCGCGCCACGCCGAGGGGTGCGCGCGCCTCGAGGATTTATGAATGAACACACGAAACGTCACCTTACACCTTCACGACTATCGATCACACACACTGTCCGATTAAATATCACGGGGTCAGTGATCTAGGGCCGGGTTGGCGTTTGTGAAGCGCGCGCCGGCATTGCGCGTCCCCCCCGCGCCTCACACATGGCTCGCGCCACTCCGCCGCTTCTGGACCAGATGAACGGATTCGCTCCGGGTTCTTCACGCGTTATGATCCGGTGAAGAGCCATGCGCTCGAGACGCGATTCCCGCGCGCGTTCCGTGTAAACCCGACGCTTTCCTCAACGCTTGATCGGTTCCGCTGACTCGCGCGGCTCGACCCGGTTCTGTGACACCGAGAGTGTGTGTGTGTGGCTGGAGAAACAGTGTGTCCAGTCCCATGTTGCAGCCGAACCAGCACGAACATGCCCGCTCAAAAGATCCGGTGAAATACGGCGAACTGGTGATCCTCGGGTGAGTGATGATGATGATGATGATGATGTCAATGATGAAGATGATGAAGCGCATTTACTACAGCAGCGCCGGATGTGTTACTCACTTAATAATGTTGGGTTAAAAATAACCCAGCTGTGGGGTGGTATAGCAGCAGCACCTTCCCAACTGGGTTATTTTAACCGACAGCATTGGGTTAAGTTAACTAGTTGGTTTTTTAGCTAATTTAGTAGTTTAATAAATTAATACAATTTGTTTCGAAATACTGTTTCAACAGATATATTTGTAGGCTATATATATATTACAAACTAAACATTAGGGAGTCTTGTCTTAATGTAAATATAGCTTAAATGAATTCAAAATACACAAGTGTTCATACAACATATGTATTTAACCCAACCCAGCTGGGTTATTACGGAAATGACCCACCGATTTTAAAAAATAACCCAACATAGTGACCCAATATGTGTAACCCTACCCAATGTTTGGGTTAAAAATTAATAACCCAAAGTTTTTTTTTTTTACTTTGTATTCAATGTGTCAAAATTTATATTTGTTACAATTTGGCAACAGTTGCGTAACAGCGCGATAGTTCTGATTGATCTGACCGATAATGCGCTTTATGTTCAATAAATGTGTCCAATCTGACGTATATACAGTATTATTGACGTATACAGTTGTGTTGTTGCGGCTCCATTGTGCTGCTGATGAACTGCAGTGAACCTGTTAATGAAGTTATTATGAACTATTTCTCGAGCGATATTACAGAACGATGTTGCTACACATAAACAACTTTGATGATCGTCGTAAACACGTTCTATAGGAACTTTAGACGAATGCATGTTTAAAATACAGTAATATTATTGATCTCACTATCAGTTGAGCTGAATAGTGATTCTATTGTCTTATATAGACCTGAATCTAAATTAGTTTCACATTTGATGTAGTTTGCGTCATCGATTCTGTTTATTCGCTACATTGAAACATCTGTATTGTGAAAAGCGCTGTAGAAATAAAGCAGATTCGACTTGACATGATGCACAGGTTCTGTAAATGAAGCAGATCGCCCAGAACGGTTGCATGTAGGCTATGCATAGATTAGGAAACAAGAGGAGTTGCTTTTCTTGATGAAAATATCCATCAACGGTTGATAAATCATCAGTGTTATTAACAGTGCGCGCGGCCGTGAGCGCGTGACATAATCCACTCAGGAAATGAGAGCGTAAAATGTTTCCGCCTACACGTGTGTGTGTGTGTGTGTGTGTGTGGTGTGTATGAGAGAGAGAGAGAGAGGAGAGAGAGAGAGAGAGAGAGAGAGAGAGAGAGAGAGAGAGAGAGAGAGAGAGAGAGAGAGAGAGAGAGAGACCAGGAAGTGTCTGTGCAGGGCAGGAACTCCTCTACACTGCTTCATCATGCTGCTTCATCTTCACCTTCCTCACAGGAGAGAGATTAGACTTGATCAGTCCCAGTCAGCGTCATCTCCAGCGCTTTGTTTCAAAGCATCACAGTCATAAACAGGAAACATTATGATCATAATCTGCATTTCAAGAGCAGATCTGTGCGAGGCAGCTATACTTCATAGTGTTCTGGTCTGACACCGATCGTGTTTATTGTCATTCGTTGTTCTTGTTTTAATGCTCTGATGATGAAACATTTTAGAATTATTTTACTTCATTTGAATGGAAATTTGTTAAAGGTTTCGTCTCTTGCTGTGTGAACACACACATAACTAAGACCCCGTTTACACCTGGTAATAAAATGCGATCTGTATCCAGATAAGTTATCCGGATAATAAAAAACGCATGTTAATGCAAGGTGTAAACGCGTTGTGATCGGATCGTGATCGGATCTGCCTGACCACATCTGGAGGTAGTCTGGCTCGCATTGTGTCCGGATCTTTACTAGGTGTAACGCAATCTGGTTGTTGAAACCACATTTTACTCCTCCCAAAAATACTAAAAAATAAACGAGTGAGAGCGTGTTATATAGGCTATATGTCATGTTATAGCCTAGTCAGATGCGACACGCGACACGCATCACCGCAGATGAGCAGCTGAGCGTCTATTCAACGTGCAAACATCGCAAATATAAGTGAAAGTAAGTCACAGACGCAGTTAACACATCTTCAAGTAAAGAAACGAAATCATCTTACCAGGCCTGTTGCCACTCTCTCTTATTGATGTCTCTGATTTGGAAATTAGCTGATGATCAATAAAATGCCGCTCAGATCTGTTGCTTTTGGTGGCGTGCAATCCAATAAATCTGCATATAACGCAGGAGGTGAAGATCGGATTTATATCCGTTTTGCAAAAACACATTTATGTGGCCAGGTGTAAATGGAATCAGTACTTATTATCCGGATAACTTATCTGGATACAGATCGCATTTTAATACCAGGTGTAAACGGGGTCTAATGGCCGTGATGAACAGGTTTAATGGTGCTGTGTTTAGTCTCACTTTTGCTCCTCGTGTCAGAAATGAATGGAGAGTTTCCTCTAGTGGAAGCGTTTGGAACTGCAGCCGAACACACTCTCACTGAACGCTCGTTTACAGAGAGATCGGCTCACATGCGGCCGGACACACATATACACACACAAAATATATAAAATTGAAAATAATATTTGTGCATTTTTCATAACAATAAATATACACACACACACACACACACACACACACACACATATATATATATATATATGTGTGTGTGTGTATATATATATATATTTTTTTTTTTATTAGCCAAATAATTCGGCCTCGATCATGTTTCGACAGCGAGTGTTCTGTCATCTCTGCAGGAACGCAATGGTTGTACACCGGACCATTTATAAGTCAGTGTATACGACTATATGGAGGAAAAATAAGCATTTGAATATTTCATTGAGAGAGAGAGAGAGAGAGTGTGTGTGTGTGTGTGTGTGTGTGTGTGTGTGTGCGTGTGTGTGCGGTTGCATTCATGCGAACGGTCTCTGCTGTCTAGTTGCTGAAGCAGCACTTTGACCTCTGCAGATACACACACACACACACACACACACACACACACACACACACACACACACACACACACACAGTGTTATGATGCTCCGGCAACATCTATGCCATATATGAATATTCATCCGTTCATAAGCCCTGAAATGCTGTGGTTTATATGAGCGCGTGCACACTCTGTAGCCTATCACACACACTCTGTAGCCTATCACACACACTCTGTAGCCTATCACACACACACTCTCGGAGTCGGAGCGCAGCTGTGCCATTGAAACGCCACTCGCTCTTCCTCGAGTCTGAACAAAAGCGCCTCTCTCTCCGCAGCGCTCACACTGAGGCCAGTGTTCGATCCGACTCGTTAATTAGCTTATTATGGACGTCACATGCCTCTGAACCTCGCGACTAAACGCTCCAGTTTTCAGTGCTTGAGTATATCTATAGAAACAACAATAGATTTATATTATATATTCAAATATTTAAGTATTTTCCGAGTGTAGTGGGGACATCGACCCGCTTGCAGTGTTTCGACTCTTTGATTGGTGGATTTTCTGTAGGGCATTATGGGTTATATAATTTTTTACTACGAGTTCCGCTGTTAAACACAATCATTTTATAACTAAGTTGAAATAATGTTTGAGTAACATCATTACACCAGTGGAGACAAGTGACTGTTAAAATGTGTTTGTCATTGAATCATTCATTTAAGAGATTCGTTCAAAAATGCTGATTCATCCAATAATGAAGCAATTGAAGTCTTTATAAGTGAGTCATTGAATCATTCATTCAGGAGATTCGTTAAAAACCCTGATGAGTGAGTCATTGAATCATTCATTCAAGAGATTCGTTAAAAAAACCCTGATGAGTGAGTCATTGAATCATTCATTCAAACTGATTTTTGATAAATAATTCATTCCATTTAATTAAACGTTGTAAATAGGCTCTACTGCAGCAATTGACTCGTTATGTGTTGACTTTACCAGTTAATATCTTTTTGATATAAGCAGTTATTGTAACAGTTACTCAGACAGTGACATAAGATTCAATTCACATTTATTTGTATAGCGCTTTTAGCGAAAAATATATTAATTTACACAATATATTAATTTACACACGTAATAATTTAACGCAGAAACAACAAGCTCATTGAAGTAATGAATAATGAAGATGCTGAAGAAGAGGTTGAGTGTAACTGAGTGTGTGTGTGTGTGTGTGCAGGTATAATGGCTCTCTGCCAGGAGGAGACCGGGGCCGCAAGAGGAGCCGCTTTGCTCTTTACAGGAGAGCGAAGGCCAACGGCGTCAAGCCGAGCGCGGTGCACGTCCTCAGCAACCCTCACGACAGCAAGGTGCGTTTCATGCAACACATCGCCGTGCAGTGCATTGTGGGATAGTGAGAGAGCGTGACCTTTGTTTGCAGGCGGTGAACAGCAGGGGGCAGCACAGCATCTCCTTCACCCTCTCCAGGAGCCAGACGGTGGTGGTGGAGTATTGCCACGATAATGACACCGACATGTTCCAGGTGAGTTTAAGAGCGAGTTAATGGTTTCTGTTAGAGCGGTGTCGTGTTAGCTGCCGCTGAGTTAATCACTAATGATCTTTATAACGGAAGTGAATCAACTTTATCTGGACGATAACTTTATTCTAGATCTGCTGTAAAGCCGAAACACTCTCTGTGACTGTAATCTCGATGTCTGTAGTAACATAATTAGTCATTCTGCAACTCGTCGGATTGTAATACATTGATATTTCAGAGCAGATGCACAAAAATCATGGTATATATTCAATAGTACTGTATATTAGGGTTGGGAATCAAAAAGACAAAATGCGAATGATATCGACGTTTTTTTTTACCTTATTGGAATCGAAATTCAGAATCAATAAGAATCATTCAAATTCAGTCGATACCCAACCCTTGTTAGGTCTTCGTGCTTGTGTTGTCCCATAATGCAGTTGTGTCCCATATATACCTTGATTTTTGTGCATCTGCTCTGAAATATCAATGTATTACAACACAATTTTTTTTTTTTTTTTTTACCATAATGCCGTGTGCAGATCGGTCGCTCGACGGAGAGCCCTATAGACTTCGTGGTGACGGATACGCCGGGAGGGTCCAAGGAGAGCGAGGACTCGTCTTCGGCTCCCAGCACCATCTCACGCTTCGCCTGCAGGATCGTCTGCGATCGTAGCCCACCGTTCACCGCACGCATCTACGCCGCCGGCTTCGACTCCTCCAAGAACATCTTCCTCGGGGTGAGTGTTGATCCTGGGAGATTGCAGAATAACACTGTACAGGATCGTCATTTTAGTAGGAAATATCGGTACCGATAATTCTCTATATTTGAAAACCGATATATATCGGCCGATAAATCTAAGTCCAGATTTTTATGTGATTATTTTGAGAGCCTTAAAACACACGTCCCAAACACACCCAAATTATAATGTTTTGATTATAATTTTATGTAGCCGATATTATAGACTATGCGCTGCACATGTTGAACTCTTTTTAAAGTGATTTTAATCATATTTAAAACAATTCAAAACCATCATGTTGAACAGTTGCATCTGAAGTGTCTCAGCTGAAGGGAATAATACATTATTTATCGACTTTAATATCGCGGCTAAATTTTCTTATCAGGTCGATAACGATAACATTATAAATGAACATATATCGGCCGATACCGATATATATATCGTGCATCCCTTGTATAATTGCAACTTATTTTTAAAATAAAAATATTAGTGGCTACTATCTAACATCTGAATTACAGATGCACAATATATCGGCCACCTTATCGGTAGTTTTTCACCTTCCTGCAATAGGCAGTGGTGCATTATGCTTAAATCCATTTTTGCATTGCAAAGGTGGCGCAGAAGCGCTTCAAAAGTGGAAGTAAAGTAAAGTTAACCACTTTATCAATCCCACAATAGGTAGTTATATTAGGGCAGTGACATCACATCACAACACAAACTAAAAAACATATTAAAAACAATCATATTCCATATACACATCTGCATATTACAAAATTCAAATGTAGGCATCTTTACACACTGTTTAGCGGTGGCGCGCATTGCATGTATACTTTTACCGTTGTACACTAACTTTACACAGGCCTTAACTCAGCTGTGTAATTCATCATTTCACACACATTCCTAGAGTAAATGCATCTCTCATGCAGGAGAAAGCAACTAAATGGAAGAATCCGGATGGTCACATGGACGGCCTGACGACCAATGGCGTGCTGGTGATGCATCCGCTGGGTTTCCCTGAAGACCCGAAGCAGGGCGTGTGGAGAGAGATCTCGGTGTGTGGAGACGTGTACGCCCTCAGAGAGACCCGATCCGGACCCATACGCGGACCACTGGTGATTATCACACACACACCGGTCACATCACGGCACCGCCCCCACATACAAGTGATGTGGGGGCATAAATGGTGATAAATGGTGCGCTTCTCACTCACTCACTCACTGACTCACTCACTCACTCATTGACTCACTCACTCACTGACTCAATCAATAACTCACTCACACACTCACTCACTCACTCACTGACTCACTCACTTACTGACTCACTCACTCAATAACTTACTCACTCACTCACTCACTCAATGACTCACTCACTCACTGACTCACTCACTGACTCACTCACTGACTGACTCACTCACTCACTCAATAACTTACTCACTCACTCACTGACTCACTCACTCACACACTGACTCACTCAATAACTTACTGACTCACTCACTCACTCACTCACTGACTCACTCACTCACTGACTCACTCACTCAATAACTTACTCACTCACTGACTCACTCACTCAATAACTTACTCACTCACTGACTCACTCACTCACTCACTCACACACTGACTCACTCACTGACTCACTCACTCAATAACTTACTGACTCACTCACTCACTCACTCACTGACTCACTCACTCACTCAATAACTTACTCACTCACTCACTCACTGACTCACTCACTCAATAACTTACTCACTCACTCACTGACTCACTCACTCACTGACTCACTCACTCAATAACTTACTGACTCACTCACTGACTCACTCACTCACTCACTCACTGACTCACTCACTCAATAGGTGTTTCTCAATGTCAAGGATACTTCCTTGGCAGGACGGGTCCTTCCAAGTCATTTCCTTCAGAGGCTATAGGCAAGGGTCCTCTTTAGCGTTCGGAGAACATGTAAATGGAACAGGCTAGCAAGTGCACGTCATTGCGTCATTACATCAGTGAAAGGTCCGCTTCGGCGCTGCAAAAATCATTGTGCTGGTGTACTGCACTGTTTAAATACACTTGACAGTCCTTATTTTGTCTTGTCAGTCCTCATAGAAATAAATAAATAAAGGGATAATGTATAACCAGGCGGTTGTTATAGCTAGTGAATACAACCCCGCAAACTCTAAAGCAGAGGGGTCTTGATCAGCCGGTTGTATTCGCAGTAACAACCGCCTCGCTATACATTTTCCCACTTATAACATGGCTACCTACCAAATAAATCAATAATTTGACACAAAATATTGATTTAAAAAGGAGTTTATTCATTCAAAAACGATTATATTACCGGAGTTAACAGAACTACCTCCATAGCAACATGATCTAACGTTAGCTGTTAAAACACATGCAATTGTAAAATATGTGACCAACAAAAAAGGCTATGAAGTAAAAATTAAAAAGTTAATCAGTAAAAGGGAACAGCTTTAAATCCCCTAAGCAAATTTGAGCCGATATGCAAATAGTTTAACAAACATTAAATAAATGGCTAAACTGAAATTATACTTGCTTACATTTGAAAGCATATTGCCGTTATCACTCCGACTCCGCTAACGGTCGACATTTTTTTTTATTTTTTGAACAAGATAGCAAAGCTGCGCATAGGATTGTGGGTGATTTAAGAGCGCGAAGGCTACACATATGCATCCTTTCCTGTGTATGGGATATTTTCCGAACGAAGGACTCAGTCCTTGGTTGAAATTCTGAGGATCCTCGACATTGGAACAGTCCTTCGACGGACGTCGATGACGTAGCATCCTCGAAATTCCGGCTTCCGAGGATCCTTCCTTGACATTGAGAAACGCCTAATAACTTACTCACTCACTCACTGACTCACTGACTCACTCACTCACTCACTCACTCACTGACTCACTCACTCAATAACTTACTCACTCACTGACTCACTCACTCACTCACTCACTCACTCACTGACTCACTCACTCAATAACTTACTCACTCACTCACTGACTCACTCACTCACTCACTCAATAACTTACTGACTCACTCACTCACTGACTCACTCACTCACTGACTCACTCACTCACTCACTCACTCACTCACTGACTCACTCACTCACTGACTCACTCACTCACTCACTCAATAACTTACTGACTCACTCACTCACTGACTCACTCACTCACTGACTCACTCACTCACTCACTCACTGACTCACTCACTTACTCACTCACTCACTCACTCACTGACTCACTCACTGACTCACTCACTCACTGACTCACTCACTGACTCATTCACTCACTCACTCTCTCTCTGCGTGTGTGTGCAGGCAGTGGGCGAGAGCAGTGCTCTACAGGACGGGTCTCTGGTGGACCTGTGCGGAGCGACTCTCCTGTGGCGTACGGCTGACGGCCTCCTCAAGTCCCCGTCTCTCCGGCACCTCGACACACTCCGCCTGGAGCTGAACGCGGGTCGCCCGCAGTGTCCCGTGGGTTTGAGCACGCTAGCGTTCCCGAGCCTCCCGCGCTCACACAGCCTGGAGGAGCGCCAGCCGTGGGCGTACCTTGCGTGCGGACACGTGCACGGCCGGCACGACTGGGGCCGGCGCCCCGAACGCCACCGCGAGCACGAGGAGAGTGTGTGTGTGTGTGCTGGGAGCCACGGGGAGTGTCCCCTGTGCCGGACCGTCGGCCCGTACGTGCCGCTGTGGCTCGGCTGTGAGCCGGGTTTATACGTGGACGCCGGCCCCCCGACGCACGCGTTCGTTCCCTGTGGACACGTGTGCTCGGAGAAGACGGGCCGGTACTGGGCCGAGACGCCTCTGCCTCACGGGACTCACGCTTTCAGACCCACGTGCCCGTTCTGCTCCGCCCCGCTCACTCACACACACACACACACGCGCCTCATCTTCCAGGGGCCCATCGATTGATGAAGGGGCCGAATGGGGGACGAAACGGGTCGGGAGTCTCAACAACAGGTTTTTAAAGTCTCTTCTGCTCACTTAAAGCTACACTGTGTGATTTTTACCCCCATCTAGTGGTGAAACGATATATGACCATCCAGTGAATATTAGTTTCTGTTCCTCTCAATTCCGATTTCGTTTTAACTCCTACGGTGGCCAATGTAGTCCAAGATTAACATGGCTTCCAGTTCGACGTCATCCATGAGTGTTAACTCAAACGTAAACGTAAAACTTGAAACTTGAAGCTTGAATTAACGGGTATGTCCCTCTTTGGCTAATGTACATTCAAGATGGAGGGGCAACATGGCGACCGACATTAGAACCCCTTACCCGTATGTATTTTCAATGGCATATTATACACTCACGAGAATACTTTATTACTTGAACGAAGTAAATATACATTAATGAGAAAACATAGAACTAAGTGTTTTTAGCTAAGAATAAACTAAAAGAATTACACAGTGTAGCTTTAAGGTCCTTGCACACGAAGTCTGAAATTTGCATATGCATTTTTACGTATTCGTCATTCGGTGGCTCTGAATTGCAAAACACCTCAAAATGCTACGGATGCGAAAAACGAATAAAATCGAAACGACTTTATGACGGACGAGAGTTTCGGAGACAGTGTGTAAACGTGATTGACACAACGTGAGGTTGTATTTATTTTTTAACGTGCAAACATTTTGGACGCGAATTCAGGAGTCAGTGTGCAAGAACCTTAAGGCTGAAATATTTGACCGTAAATAGCGCATTTGTAGTTAAAAATTATAGAAATGTATATGAATTTGTTTAGAAAATGGTTTTCTTTTTGGTTTATCTTCATTTCTTTTCGACTGAAGAAAGAACATGTTGCATGAGTAAATTATCAGGAAATGTTAATTCCGAAGTGAACGAATCATTTAAATACAGCGCAACGATTACCTTCTAATGCTTGCTTTCCGATAACAAGTTAATTTCGCCACAAAAGACGCAACAAAAAAAGCGAAACTTTGTACGTGAGCAGTTGAAGGCATCGATTTCTTAAAACTAAATCTGAAAAGATTCCCGATCCTTACCGACCCTCGACGGCCGAAACTCAACATCACACACACACACACACTCACACACCAGAAACCTTTATTAAAACGCTTGTTTTCAGCAATAAACTCAGCTGGTAGATCCACCGTAGAGATGCAAGCGGTTCGATCCGTGTTCCCTAAACCTCGAAGGGCTTTCCTCGTCTAGCCCTCACGTTTCTTCTTCTTTTCCTTTATTTCTTCTTCTTTTTCTTTGTTTTTAGGATGTTTTAGCATTAAATGACAGTTGTAGCTGCAGTATACGCCGTAGTCGTTTGAAATTGTCAAGATGTCATATTTTTCTACATGACTGTGTTACTAAGCTTGTTTAGTAACTTGTTTTATATACAAGTGTTTCACATATAGCAGTATATAGATTATATATATATATATATATAAATATGAATCTATTATTTTCTGTGTATGATTTGAGTCCAGGAGAGTGTGTTGAAGGAACGCCTCACTGTGCCGACGACACGCGTCCCGTATGATGAATGTACGACTCCGGCGCTTTGTTACTTTCTACGATCTCCTGGTGCTAACGATGATTCTAACGATGATTCTTACGACGATTCTAATGAAGATTCTAACGATGATTCTAATGATGATTAAAAATAAGATTCTTACAAAGATTCTAACGAAGATCCTAACGATGATTGAAATGATGATTCTTACGAAGATTCTAACAATGATTCTAACAATGATTATAATGATGATTAAAATTAAGATTCTTACGAAGATTCTAACGATGATTCTTATGATGATTCTAATGATGATTCTAACGATGATTCTAACGAAGATTCTAACGATGATTCTAATGATGATTAAAATTAAGATTCTTACGAAGATTCTAACGATGATTCTAATGATGATTAAAATTAAGATTCTTACGAAGATTCTAACGGTGATTCTAACGAAGATTCTAACGATGATTCTAATGATGATTAAAATTAAGATTCTTACGAAGATTCTAACGATGATTCTTACGATGATTCTAACGATGATTCTTACAATGATTCTAACGATGATTCTAATGATTGAAATGAAGATTCTTACGAAGATTCTTACGATGATTCTAACGAAGATTCTAACGATGATTCTTACGATGATTCTTACAATGATTCTAACGATGATTCTAATGATTGAAATGAAGATTCTAACGAAGATTCTAACGATGATTCTTACGATGATTCTTACAATGATTCTAACGATGATTCTAACGATTGAAATGAAGATTCTTATGATGATTCTAACGATGATTCTAACGATTGAAATGAAGATTCTTATGATGATTCTAACGAAGATTCTAACGATGATTCTAATGATTGAAATGAAGATTCTTACGAAGATTCTAACGAAGATTCTAACGATGATTCTAACGATTGAAATGAAGATTCTTATGATGATTCTAACGAAGATTCTAACGATGATTCTAATGATTGAAATGAAGATTCTAACGAAGATTCTAACGATGATTCTAACGATTGAAATGAAGATTCTTATGATGATTCTAACGAAGATTCTAACGATGATTCTAATGATTGAAATGAAGATTCTTACGAAGATTCTAACGAAGATTCTAACGATGATTCTAACGATTGAAATGAAGATTCTTATGATGATTCTAACGATGATTCTTTCTTTCATGCTGAACTTCACTGATTGTTTCGCTTCAGAAAGGTGGCAGCGCTTTATGATAACTTTCATCAATGTGTCATGACAAACAGATAATTATAATCTAATTACATTAGTGGTTGTCGGTATCGTTATGAACACTATTTTGTATATTTAAGACATGTCAGTGCAAGTTGCGTTTTTAAAACAGCTCAAACTTGCATTTTAGTCTGAGACTAGATTAAGCCTCGTCCACACTTACACACACACACACACACACACAAACTAGTGTGGCTGTAACAATATGGCCAAAATTGAGCCAGAAGACTCAGATAAGAGGCTGAACTCAAGATCATCAATCTGTGATAAAGCATTCCTTTATTTTTGTTACGTTTTTGTTGAATTTTCATGTTATGTGTAACAAAATGTTTTTGTGTTCAGGTTTGACTAGTAAAATTACTTCAAATCAACATCTCCAAAAAAAAAAAAAAATCGTCTTTGAGAATGTCTAAATTTTACCCAAAGCGATTGCATTAAATTCAAGCTATACATGATAATTAGCTAATGCTTTTGTATACGAGTTATTAGAGTGTGCCGAGTGGACGATAACATGACACACCAGATGCATGACATCCAATGCAGACAATGTTATTGATGAAAGTTATTTTTATAAAGTGTTCCCGACAGTCGTCACACACACACGCCTGCACACGTCACACTGTGCACCCGAGCATTATAAGCTAAGCGCTCAATGACGCTTCGAACGGCAGGGTTCAGAGGTCAAACCGCTCTACTTTACCTCAGACCACAGACCTCCGTCCACGGCCCCGTTTGGTTCTCCGCCCGCCGATGAAGCCGGATTCTGGGGAAGCTTGTGTCCACCACAGAATAAAACTTTTTAAAAGATAATTGCGACTTTATCTTCCTTTTTCGCAATTCTGGACTTCAAATCTCGCAATCGTGAGATGAAATTTCACATTTCCGAAACGAGCTTCCACAGAATCGACCTAAATCGGGTTCCCTTGATATTATGAGATGGTCAAGCATGAATCAGGTTTATTTCTAGGACACTAGAATCGCTGCATATTAATGCAATACCTATCAGTGATCGTTTGCTCATTCTGAACCTGTATGCACTCGGTTTTTCAGTGGAACAAAAAATAAAAGGACACATTTGGAAGAAACGCATCTTCTTGATGCAGCTCTTTTATTTTAACCCATATGCACAATATGTCAAGTTATACATGATGCTTTATGCACTGATTCATGCTGCATTGGTGCGTTGCGCCACGTTTAACATCCTCAACACTGAAATGCTGCAGATCCTCCACGTCCTCCATGATTGCCGAGAAAAGCACTATATAAATGTAATGAATTATTATTATTATTATTATTATGTCACGCGCAGAAAAGAGCTTCGTGAAGACGATTAACCGTCATCCTTCCCTCTCACTGTTACACAGCTTCCCTCGCGGGTTAGGATGATGACCCCAAGCCCTACAATATACCTTTTTTTTTTTTTTCAGAAAGCTTATTTTATGTAATTTTATTAATATTTTTTTTATGTACCTTTTTAAATGACTAGATTTGATCAATAAATGGTAATTTAAGCACATTCCTCTCATTCTTTCAACTTAAATTTAAAAAAAATAACACAATATCATGCATTACCCTTTTAATTCAGCTCTACATATCTTATAATAATAAATAATAATAACACATGATATTTCATAACTCTATATGGGCGTATATCTCTATATGCAGGGTCCTACAGCTGGTTTATACACACATGTACACAATATACAATCATTATTTTTAGTTTGAATTTTGATCATTTTTCGTTGTTTCTGTGTAATGAAGCAATTGACCCGCGAGGGAAGGATGTGTAACTTTTTATAATATTTGTGTGTGTGTGGTTAGGGTCGAAATGCCCCAAGGGAAGGATGGATCTGAACTGTGTGTGTGATCTGAACATGTTTCTCCCCTGAGACTGAGAAACGAGTCTGATCTCCGCTGTTTCCACGTCTTCCGAACCGCCTTCCACTCACATTCAGCTCAGGTTTACACTAGTCGAAGTTTACAAATGTTGGTTAGCAGGGTTAGGACTGTCGATCGTGTGCCTCCCGGAGGTCGAGTGTGTGTTCAGTTCAGTGTGTATGACGTTCCTGAAGAACACGTGATTGATCTACTGTGTTTTGAGTGTCGTCTGTTTTGTTGCTTTCGAGTGAGATGTGACGATACTGCACCTTGTGTTTGACCCACTGAATAAAAGCTCTATCTCAGACACGAATCCTGACCTTTGACCTTTTACACTGCCACAATGCACTTAAACCTGTCCGTACCAAACTGATGCTTAAACCCAAGGTGCACTGACAATCACATCAATAAAAGTGATCTTTTCAAAATGCATACAGGTTTGTTTAATTCTTTACATTTGTATTAGTTTCACTTATAAATGTGCATTTCTAGATTGAGAAACTGTACTATCCAAAACTTAAATGGTTATACTTCCAGTGCTTTGGACCTAAGGCTGGTCTTGTTTTAAAGAAGACACACGTGTGGCAGATTATTGTAGAAACGAAATAAATTATGAACGTGAAACATTGTATGAAAATGTCCAATCTAAATATATAATATTTATATAAAATATATATATTTTACAAAATAATGTTTTATGTTTTACTCTAAAATTGCAAGAAAATCAAAGCCATAAATCTAGTTTTAAATTTGATCTACAAGCAATATATATTTTGTCAAGATTAGCTTAGATTTAGTTTAGGATATTTGAGTTTTAAATATGTAATGGCGGTGGGCCGGTGACATTAAAATATTTCGATTTGTGTATTTTGATGCTCCAGAGCTCTATAGGTTTGTGTTATGACAGACATTTCAGTCATATTTCTGCTGTAACACAACATGGGGTTCACACACTAAACAATCAGCAAGTCTGGATAATGAAGGCAAGATTGCACGTGTCGGCCACTAGAGGCCGCTGTCGCTCTTCTAATCGCTACGTGATGACGTCACGGCGACCGTTGGATTCGCCTCAGAGCACAGGTGAGCAGTTTTAACTGTCTCAGGGCCTCAAAAGGTAGACTTTTATGAATTAGCCTACACAGTTAGAGTCCCCCTGTGGAGCAAATCAAGTTTTTAATGTTGTTTATGTGTGTATGTAGTGTTTTTACACCATGTGTAAGTTCATAAGTCGACAGCATTGCTGAGTAACGTTACACCAGGGTGTCATATTTTTCAAGGAAAAAAAATGTTTAAATGTCATTTTGGGGAGAAAATATGAGTTTTAATGGACAAAAATTATTGACTTCAGGGGGACTTTAAATGTAGCCTTATACATGGCAAGATTGTGCAAATATCCGTAGCTGAAGACATTAGAGCTCTATTTTGATCAGTTTACATTATTACGAGATTGAAGTAAAATAAATTAAAATAAGATTAGTTCACTTTTAAAAAAATTTTGCTGATAATTTACTCACCCCCATGTCATCCAAGATGTCCATGTCTTTCTTTCCTCAGTCGAAAAGAAATTAAGGTTTTTGATGAAAACATTCCAGGATTTTTCTCCATATAATGGACTTCAATGGGGTCCAAACGACAGTTAATAACAGTTCCAGATGCAGCTTCAAATGTCTTTAAACGACACCAGACGATGAATAAGGGTCTTATCATGCGAAACGATCGATTATTTCAAAACTTATTCCAAAAATGTAACTTTTCTAAGGACAAATGCTAGCCTTGCTCTATTCTGTGAGGCGCATTTGTAACGTCACGTAATACGTAATTACGTTCAAAAGGTCACGGCGACGTAGCCAGAAGTACAGAGACAGATGCTGCGTCCCAATTCGCTTACTTATACTACGCCCTAAAAGTATGTACTCTTTTTGTGAGGAAAAAGTACATACTTTTGAGTGTGTAGCAAAAGAGTAGGCAAGCTTTGGGACGTACTCTCACGTCATCTTTAACGGACGGCTCTGTCGCGTGCTGCGTGCATCCTGTCACCGTAAACTGCCCTGTCAATCATCTTGTCACAGTTAAAATCCTCCATTCTATATCTAATTTTATTTCCTACCGTTTCGGAGAGCACATCCATCTGCCAGTTGTGGGTCTTTCATGCTCTCCTCGTGTTTGCAATTTGAATATGATGCATTTAAAACGTAATAGCTAAACGTGTCTTTACAAAAGTTCACAATGCCGCTGCAAATGCAATATAATGTGTACAACATTTAATAAATTCATTTTCGTGAGGTTAGATACTGATAATTAATCACTCAAAGCTCTTTATCTAAACCTCTCTACACAACCGCGGGGACTCGCGCGTCCTCCGTATCGACTACGTGTCTGTAGTTTTTTAACACTTTTTACTCGTGTTTGTAGTTCTAACCGAATCCTCGTCCAACGCGCAATGGTTTGTGGGCAATATCAGCCGTTAGAGTGTGCATCGATCTACACTTCGGATTCTGACCGGAAAAAGTAGACCATCCGGGTATCTTTGAAACACTCATTTCAACGTACTACGATTTGGGACGTACTAATTCTATTTTCGAATACTATTTAGGACGGATAGTATGCGAATTGGGACGCAGGCAGTGTTTACAAGTTGAACGCATAGGTTGAACGTACAAACTAACTCAAACGCCGTTTACAAAAAAGGAAATAAAAGGTAAAACAACGATGTCGGACGAGTTTGATTCTGTACTTCCGGCTACGTTGCCCGTGACCTTTTGAACGTAATTACGTATTACGTGACGTTGCAAACGCGCCTCACAGAATAGAGCAAGGCTAGCATTTGTCCTTAGAAAAGTTACATTTTTGAAATAAGTTTTGAAATAAGCGATCGTTTCGCATGATAAGACCCTTATTCATCGTCTGGTGTCGTTTAAAGCTGCATCTGAAACTGTTATTAACTGTCTTTTGGACCTTGAACCGTTTGGTTCCCATTGAAGTCCATTATATGGAGAAAAATCCTGGAATGTTTTCATCAAAAACCTTAATTTCTTTTCGACTGAGGAAAGAAAGACATGGACATCTTGGACATGGGGGCGAGTAAATTATAAGCAAAAGTTTTTTCAAAAGTGAACTAATCCTTTAACATTTAATATTTTAATTTAGTCAGAGAATAAAAAAAGTTGTGTGAATACAATTTTAAAAAATCAAGAGAGAACTATACAAAGACGCGAGTGTGTGAGAGTGAGTGTGTGCGAGATCGAGTGTTTGTGTGTGACAGTGAGTCAGTGTGAGAATGTGTGTGTGTGTGTGTGTGTGTGAGAGAGAGAGAGAGAGAGATGGTCAGTTCCAGCATTCAGACTCTGATAAAATCTGAGACACAAACTTTGCATCTGCAGTTTCAACTTTAAGCAAAACGTCTCAAGATTATATTTTATGTAACAAAAACAATCGATTAAATGATTTAATACTTTATTTTTGTCATGTTTACAGTGATGAATTCCTCATGTACATGTCTAAGACACTGAACACCCTTTTACTGTAAAGATAATTCACAACTTTGACAAAAAATATTTTTAAGAAGTAATTAAGAACTCCCGTAACGAGCAGTGAACGCACGATTCATGACCTGGACGACTGTACATGAGCTCATATAGATTTGATTGTCATTAAAACAACATTTGGCATCATAATCATATTTACAGTGAAAACAACTGTACAGAATCACCTGTCATGATGCGCTGCGAATGCGAATATAAGCCAGAAATAACCAATAACACCATTGAGGTCCATTTTACATTCATATAAAATACAGAAGTGTTATAATGTGTTTAAATGCTGATTTCATTAAGAACTGAAGCACATGAGCGCAAGTTTAAACAAGAGCAGATCTTTCACGATTCAATTTTAATATGCAATCATTTAATATTTTCTAAATGAAACTATAATAAGCCTGGTGATGTATTTTAGTTGATATATACAGCTTGCAGAAGTCTTGAGTTTGGATGAAAGCACTATTATATCACAACACTGGCTTATTCATGATTCAAGGTGTTCAATAATATCCGATATAAATTCCACGCGTTTCTGCTTAAATGAACACATACGGTAGACAATTCTTAAACTATTCATTAAATACTGAGCAGTTCAAATCTTCCTCATACACACGTCTTCTCAAAAGAGCGTCGATGCTAGTGAAGAAACTGTGTGAAATGCAGGACTGAAGCACAGATGCCCCCGGCGGGTCAGAACTCGTCCTCTGAGCTGTCGGCCAGTAGCATGGCGTTGTCCGGGCCGCTACGCACTTCTCTGGGCGGCTGAAGAGGACGAGCATTGAAGAAGAGTCAGAACCATCAGTACTCAAGCTAATCTGCTGAAGCTTTCATCTGGCTCTAATGATGTATTCATAACACAAATACCATGTTTGCTAGCATGTTTTTAACAAGATGCTAACACGATTAGAAGTTTGCTAGCATGATGCTAACACGATTACCACGACGCTAGCATGATGCTAGCACATTTTGACTTGTTTTCATCATGTTTTAACCCTAAGCTAATTACAATTAGCATGTAGCTATTCACTGCTAGCATGTGTAACAAAGCCACAAGATTAAAACCATCACTACTCAAGCTAATCTGCTGATTTGGTTTGTACATTATGCAACATTGAGATTTCATTCACTCTTGCCAATGTTTCGGCTCTATTCAGAATCCGAGAACTGTCCTCTGGTGTTTGAAGCTATCTCTTCAGTTCCGAGTGGTGCTCGCCATGTCCTACTACACTACCCCCTACAGTGCTAGCAGGATTTTAACAAAGTTCGAACACGATAAGCATGTTGCTAGCGTGTGAAAGCATGTTTTAACTAGATTATAATATGATTAGCATGATGGTAGCATGTTTTTAGCAAAATGCTAACACAATTAGCATGTTGGTAGCATGTTTTTAACAAGATGCTAACACAATTAGCATGTTGGAAACATGATTAACATGATAGTAACATGATTAGCATGACGTTAACATAATTTATGTGTAACATGACACATTTTGTTAGCATAATTCTAACATGAAGAGGATGTTGCTTGCATGTTTTTAATAAGATGCTAACATGACATTTTGCTAGCATGGTTTATCATGATGCTAACACAATTAACCTGTTGTTAACATGATGCAAGATGTTAACATGATTAACATGTTTTGCTAACATGGTTTTATCAAGATGTTAACACAGTTAGCCTGTTGCTAGCATGATGGTAGTGCTAGCACAAGTGCTAACACATTATGACTTGTTTTTAATCATGTTTTAACCCTAAGCTAATTGCAATTAGCATTTAGCTATCATGTGTAGCAAAGTCACAAGATTAAAATCATCAGTACAACAGCGAATCTGATGAAGCTAACAAAGGGCTCAAATTATAGAATTTATGTACTACATTGAGACGTCATGACTTGATGCTATGCTTGACTCTTGCCAGTGTCTTGCCGCGTACCTTCCTCCTCTGGTGTTTGAAGCTGTCTCTCCTCTTGCGGTGGATCAGTCTGATGCTGTAAAGGGCACCGACCAGCAGAAGAGCGCCAGCTATCCCGATGCCAACCGGCGCCAACATCCCCGACACGTAACCAGCCTACCGGGGCATCATCAACATGTTTTTTTAGCAGTTGTCAGCCGTTTTTAAACCATTGCATGTTTTAATATTTTGCTAACATGCTTTAACACATTCCATGAACAAATTAGAATCAATTAGCATATTGTTATTGTTGTTACCATGTTACTACCGCATATTAACATGTTTAAACACATGTTTTAACACATTGCTAACATGAATTAGCATTTTGGTTACATGTTTTAGCACCTGTTAACATAAATTAGAATTAATTTGCTTATTGTTAACATTTTAACACGTTGCCAACATGAATTGACGTAGCTAGCATGTTTAAACGCTGCTAACATGAATTAGCATGTAGCTAGCATGCTAATTTGTAGCATGCTAGCTACATGCTAATCTTGTAGCACTGTTAACATGAATTAACAGGAAATTACACTTTACTATAAATTCATATAGAAACAGCTATTTTAAATTGTAATAATATTTCAGTGTTTTAACTGTATTTAATGTAGATAAATCTAATGTAATAGACGCTTTCGGAAACATGAACTAGTGTAAATATGAGCATGAATATGCGCACCTTCTCTCGGATCAGCTCGACCCAGCTCCGCACTGCACACAGCAAACACAGAGCGTTAGTAGTGAAGCTCCTGACGAGACTCACGCTAGCATAGCTGTGTGTGTGTGTGTGTGTGTGTGTTCTCACCGAGGCCCTGGTTCCGCTGCACCCAGATGGGGGGAGGGGGGATCAGGCTGTAGGGCGGCCGCGTGTGTGGAGCCAGGGTGCTCTCCATCAGGTCCTCCTCACTCTCCTCCTCAGACTCCTCCTCATCTTCATCAGGCTCCTCTGTAAGACAGAGACGTCGGTTCAGCTCGCGGCGTGTCACAAACTAGCGCTTTAAACGCACGCGCACTAACCTTTAGACTCCAGATCTTCGTGAACGACCGCCAGAGTCTGATGGGTAACTGAGCTCTGTGTGATGTCATCATCTGCAGGACCAATCAGAACGATTTACAAAAACATTCGTTCATCTTGTAGAAGCTGACATGATGTTAAGGTGTTTCTAATCTAATGTTTAGTTTTCATTTAATTATGTTGGCTTGACCTACAGACTGTTCTATATCTTTTCTAACCGATCCGACTTACGGTTTTCCTAAAAGCTCAGATTAAAAATCATAAAAAAATGCCTTAGACTTACATTGAGAGGTTAAAACTTGAATTCAATGCTAGCTAAATCATGCTAGCTACATGCTAATTCATGCTAGCAAAGTTTAATTTCCTGTTAGCAAAGTGTTCATTCATATTAGCAGTGTGCTAAATCATGTAGCAACATGCTAAGTCATGCTATCAATGTGCTAAAACATTATAAACATGTTAATTTATGAAAGCACTGTGTTAAATCATGTAGCAACATGCTAAGTCATGCTATCAATGTGCTAAAACGTTATAAACATGTTAATTTATGAAAGCACTGTGTTAAATCATGTTAGCAACATGTTAAAATAAGATAGTGGTGTGTTAAATCATGTTAGCAACATATTAAAACATGCTAACAATCTGTTAAAACATGTTAACAATCTGTTAAATCATGTTAACCACGTGATAAATCATGTTAGCAAAATGTTAAAAAAAAATGCTAGCAACATGCTAATCATGGTAACCACATGTAAAATGTGGTTTTCAAACTTCAAGCTCTTCAAAGTTATTTTAAACTTTCAGCCCTGGCTTTTTTTTTAAAGAAGTTTGTCCTCAAGCTTCACTCATCTAATTATTATTATATAATTCGGAAGCATCCTCACTTCGCTCCAGTGACGGATCAGGTTCTGTGACGGAGGCTCTCGCTCCAGACGTCTGCCAGTCCAGAGTTCCTGAGAGAAGGACATCAGAGGAAGAGTGCACCGTATCCATGGACACCATTCGCTCAGTGTCTCCCGTCGTCACGGCAGCCGACGCCACGGTGACGGACACTACGGATGGCGATGCGACGTCCTCGAAGATCAGAGGCAGGTCTTCGGACGGCATGGTGGCCTCGGTGCCCAGCTCCAGCACGCTCACTGCTTCTGGGAAAGGGAAACGCAAAGCCAAGAACATCAAACTCAGAGCCGTGAACATTAATAATGAACGTGCAGACTCCTCTTTTAGCAGTCAGCTCCACTTTCCACCAGTACAACTCAAAATAGAACGTAATTAGGCTGCCGTCGGCGTCCGCTGGGGTTCACAGTGCTCATGCTAATGTTTTCAGACCAGAACCAGAACTCTACACTCGTATTTTACTACAACTATTGGCTCTGTTCTTTCACAAAATACTTCTTAGACAGAGACACTGTTCCTTTGGGTTGTTTAAAATTAAGCTGAGGTGACGTGATGCTGTCCACCTGTCACTCAAGTGGCCACGCCCTTAATCATGCACAACTTTAAGGCTTAATATCATTTAAACAAATGAGTTATAAAAATATTCACCCCCTCACAGTCGTCATGAAGGGCAACATTAGCGATATAGACCAAACCCACTTTTAGCACCAGACTGTAAACATGTTTTATTCTGCGGTAAAGTTGGGCGTTTTAACATGCGGGTCTATGGGAGTGAGTCGCGCCTCTAGTGGCCAAAGGAGGAATTGGTGCTCTTCGTGTGGCGGTCAAAAATTACAGAAACTAATTATTTTATTAATTTATTATTGTAATTAATGCACTATATTTTAGTTTGATTGCACAACAGTTTTTTATTTAATATTAGATTTTTTGGGGGGATTTATGGTACTAAATTATATTTATGCAGTATTAATAATCCATTTCACTTTTTGAGCACAGACCTGAAAATTAAATGTCCATCTTAAACTGTGGAGAATCTGAAGTGACAGACTGAAGTTTGATCTCTTCTCAAACACGACACTCGGCAGATTGTTGCTGACGCGAAAAAAAGAATTAAAAAGTTAAAAGTTCCGATAAAAAATTGCAAAATTAAATTTTTTTATTTTTATATGAAATATATATTTTCAAAAACACGTTTTACTCTAAAACTCTAAAGAAAATCAAAGCCATAAAGTGTGTGTGCGCGTGTGAGCCGATCTCTCCGTAAACGAGCGTTCAGTGAGAGTGTGTTCGGCTGCAGTTCCAAACGCTTCCACTAGAGGAAACTCTCCATTCATTTCTGACACGAGGAGCACAAGTGAGACTGTTGATCACAGCACCATTAAACCTGTTCACATCACGGCCATGATTTTTTTTGTGTTCGCATAACAAGTGCCTAAACCTTTACCAATTTTCGAACCATTCCGATTAAAAAAGTAAAAAGTAAAAAATTCCAAGTAAAAAATGTAAAAAAAAAAAAAGTTAAGTTTTTCGGTCAAAAGTGACCGTAGATCGAAAGGTTGCCGCTTAAATGTGTGTCGATCACTGACCTGCCCGCAGATGCACCGGTTCCGTCCACGTATCGGTCGCGTCCAGCAGTTTCGGGCCAGATGAGTCTCCGATGGGAACGCCGGTCAGCGAGTCCGAAGTCTGGAGTGTGTCGGCCCTCGGAGAACACGTGGTCTCAGAACACGGGAGAGAGTCCGTTGAGTCGCTCGCTCGCTCGTTCCTGTCAGGTTCCCCGTGCGTAACTCTCGGAGCCGCCTCGGGGTCTCCTGAGCTGATGCTCAACAAGGATGAGTTGGAGAATGAGTCGGGCGAGTGAGTCCTGGTGCCGTTCTCATCTCCTCCTCCTGCATCCATCGACTCCTCGAGCGCCTCCCGCGCGACGGCAGACAGACACACCGCGGCCAACAGGAGACCGCGTAAACTCAACATAGCGGATCCGTCACTCGAGCACGCGCGGTCCGGAGCCGAAGTTAAACGTGAGCCGGTCCGAAACACTCGAGCACACTTCCTAGGGACAGGAGCAAACGGAAGATTCACATATACAGTCATTCAGTCGGACTAAACATTGTTCACACACCAGATATCATGTTTTCATTGAACTGATCTGAATCAACATTGATCTGATTAATGACACTATTAAAGCTGAATTCGTCTCATATTTGATTCAGTTTTTATCCTTGATTCTGTTTCCCTCTTTATGACAGGAACTCAGTCAACGGGGACCAGATGATGTTTGGTTCAGTTCTATCGAGTTCAACAGAACAACTGACTCGAACAGGTTTAGAGCAACATTTTGGGTGAACTGTTCCTTTAAGAGATAATTAATTTGTAGCATTTTTAAGGGTATATTATTTAAAGTCAATAATTGTATCTCTTAAAACTCATCTTTGATCACCAAAATGACATAAAAAAAAAAGATTCCTTCACGTAACTCGACACCCTCGCCTCATTTAGTATACTTGGTCTATGAATATGCAAATGAGCCCCGCCTCCACTCACTCATCTGCCATGTCATGTTATGTGGCAAGAGTCGGTGTAATAAGCGGAATAATGTACATCCAGCCGGCTGTTATCTCAGAATAAACCCCTTCAGCTTCTCGTCAGGTCCTCATCTTAACAGTTTATTTTTTGAGAATCACCGGCTGGATGTACATTATCCCTAACTGAATGCATTCATAATGCATATATTTTACAGACGTATTCCAATGATTATTTATTTATTGTAGTTAATAATAAAATCGTATGAAACATTGGTTCTGTGTATTGGCATAGCACACTATCTCTAGAACTGCTGGATGTATATTCAAGATTGTATTGTTTTGTGCTGCTAGTTTAACCACCCATTTGTTCCTGGTCTTTATTTCCCTGCTCTTTCTGCAGCAGTAACTTGACACACACACACACACACACACACACACACACTACTGCATTTCTCTGCCAGTGTCTAAAAATAGCACGGAGACAATGCGCCCTACTGTATCATCCAGGTTTCCAGGCAGTTATTATGTTTATTGATCAATAATCAAATCCGTGATGTAAAATAGCCTAATATAAAATGCGTACTGTAATTGTGTGCATTAATGCATTGCATTTTCTCTGTCACAGAACACCTCATATGTCTGATTCAGGCACTATTATTATGCTGCGTAATTTATTCCCTATGTGAGTGCGCAATGGCCAGACTGGCTCTCCCGCGTCACGTGCATCACAGCATGCGGACACTGATGCTCTTCTGGACAACTCTAATATGAAGTAAACAAACACAATGGCACATCATCACAGTAATGACGCAGATGCTCACCTGCTGTGTGTGAACGCGGATCAGGCTCATGTCCAGTGCACGCGCAGTGTTTCAGTCACCCGTTCCCGCTCTTAAGAGGCATTATAAGCGCTCGTTGCTGTTATTCCTCTGTCTGCGCCAGCTCATGCCACACTGAAGTTTCCTCAGACTGAATCTCGTCTGCGTCTGCGCAGTCGACTACAGCCAGCTCACTGACAGCGCGGGAAACAAGTCCATAATTAACGCTCTAGTTCATTTTTAAAGGTGCAGTGTGTAATATTTAGGAGGATCTGTTGACAGAAATACAATATAACATACAACTGTGTTTTCAGTGGTGTATAAAGACCTTACATAATGAGCCATTGTGTTTTTATTAGCTTAGAATAAGGCGTTTTATACTTCTGTGTCGAACTCACGTCGTAGGCTGTGCGTACCCTTCAGCATTTAACATGTTTCTATGGTGGACCTGAATGGACAAACACATTTTGTTGTCACTATGTTGTTCTTCATGATAAGAAGCTGCTAAAGCCAGTGAATAAAACACTGACACAATGATGAACAAGTAACAATAAAATTCACAATAAAATATCGTTTTACGGAATGATTAGGTTAACCTAATTTCTTAATTTATCTTTGTAAAAAAACCTCATCGCGTAACTGGCTGCTGTCTCAGACGACGACATCCCCAGACAGCAAACTGACATTGAATCAACGTGAAAACGACGTCTCTCATGACATTGAAACAACGTTGATTTGCTCATCGAATTAACGTTGAACCAACGTCAGACGCGGCATTCTGCAAAGCTAAATGAAATCGAAAATTGGTTTGCTTTCATAACGTTGAAACAACGCGTTGATTTCAAGTTGATTTTCCGTTAGTTTTGAAAGAATGACGCATCTGACGTTGGATCAACGTTAATTCGATGAGCAAAACAATGTCAGATCAACGTTGTTTCAATGTCATATTTCCACGTTGATTCAATGTCAGTTTGCTATCTGTCGGCCACCATAACTTCTGTTGGGTGCAATTCGCAACCTCACCACTAGATGCGCTAAAACTTACACACTGCAACTTTAAATAGTATTAGTATTTGTTTAATGATAAAACAACCTGACATGTTTTTCCCCATTAAAAACAAACTTTATTTGAGTAATCCAAGCATGCATGCAACAAAATCATCCATAATGCTAATTCGAAATAGCATAGGTTATACAAAAATCGAATAGGTTATTTTCGATTAAATAAAATAAAAATGGAATCAATTGAATGACGTCCATGGTTCCCCCCTCTACACTATGGAAGCTCATTTCCGCCACAGAATAAACAACAAAAAAGGTAATTGCTACTTTTTATACAACAGTTCTGACTTTTTTTCCCCACAGTTTCGAGTTTACATCTCAAAATTCTGAATTAGGTCATATAAAGGCGCAATTGCGTGTTATAAAGTCAGAATTGTCAGACTTAAATGTGCAATTTAGATTTTTTTTCTCAGAATTGCATGTTTATATAATTCTGACTTTATAACATGCAATTGGGCGTTGCAAGTGCAAGGGGAAAAAAGTAAAAATTGTGAGTTTAACTCGCATTTCGACTTTATTATAACACACAATTGCGACTTTGTATCACGTAATTATGACTTTATATTTCGTAATTCTGAGAAATAAAGTCATAATTGCAAGATGTGAACTTGCAATTGTGAGATAAAAAGTCGCAAATATCTTTTAAAATGTTTTGTTCTTTGAGGACAAAAACAAGCTTCTATAAAATAGTGCAGCACAACTGTCTGGTTTAAACATTGTTCTAAATATCTTCCAATTGTGTTGAGGGCGTTTAAATGATGATTTTTTGGGGGAATTATCGCTTTAAAAGTAGCCATTCGTCAAATTAATTTCTGAAGCCACCTTGGCTCAAAGTGTCCACGGAGAGCTGATCTGGGTTCGGTGTCACCCGCCCAAATCCCACGCATTCAAGCGGACAGTAAAGTGTGAAGAACTGATCTCAGATCAGCGGATACTTCGTGCAGAACGCTTTTCATTAAACACATTCACATGTCGGAACACATAAGAACATGTACAACAGAATGAACATGTAAATGTGTAGAAAATGTTTGCGTGTTGGATGTATTTAGTTTTTACTGTTGCTGAGAATATTTTTATTCAGGCGAATGCAAGGCAGCCATTGTGAAGGACCCCGCCCGTCTCTCTGATGCTATGAGTGTCAGCGTTGTGTTTACACAATAATAATCTCTTTTTTCCCACTTGATACATTACTTCTATTGAGAAAATGCCCTTGTTTGAAGGCCTGGGCAGCGGCGGGGAGAAGACAGCCGTAGTCATTGATTTAGGAGCGGCGTACACAAAGTAAGTGACTGTTATTAGTGCGTCGCGGTCATAGAATATAAATAAACTCGATGTTTTAGTCAAATTATACGATATAAGACCTGAATGAGTTACACGCCACGATTCATCGTGCATTATTACACTGATGATCATTAATCACTAACAAAATTATTATGGTATATGATATGAGACACACGGTTTGTTCTGACTGGTTTTGTTCTCTTGTGTTTGTAATGTGTAGATGTGGCTTTGCTGGCGAGACTGGGCCGAGATTCATCATTCCCAGTGAAATTAAACACCCTGGATCTCAAGAGGTCTCATTTATAATCATAATTAATAAACTTAAGACAACATTTGAAGAGTTCAGATGCAAAAGCCTCTAAATGCCATTTGAAATTTTCTTCTTTAATGATGATTTTTATCAAGCTTGTATATTTAAGTTCAGTGATTTCACTTAAATAGCAATGATAATTACCTATTAATTGTTATTTAAGTGAAATTACTGAACTTAAATATACAAGTTTGATAAAAATCATCATTAAAGAAGAAAATTTCAAATGGCATTTAGAGGCTTTTGCATCTGAACTCTTCACTAATGCTTTAAACATAATTGATTGTGTCTGTGGGGAACTGATTGGATGGTTGTGGTTTGCTATTGGCTGATCTCATCTGAGTGACAGGTTATAGCCCCGCCCACATCATCAGAGAAGCGCTGCTGCAAGAGGAACTGATTCTGTTTCAACATTATTTACACAATAATGATGTGCACCCCTAATGATCGTGTGTCCAGGCCGTGCGAGTCGTCCAGTACAACATCAACACTGAGGAGCTGTACACCATCCTGAAGGAGTTCGTGCACCTGCTCTACTTCAGGTACGACAGTCCGCCGGCGGGGAACCAATGGTGCACTTTGCAGGGTGTTGAGTTACATTTTAAGGCATGAAGAATTCTTTTCCAAGGAAAAAACTCTTAAATGTGTAGTTCTGGTGATCACAGATGAGTTTTAAGCAATACATTAGTGTCTACAGGGGGAGTCATACAAAGCCTATAACCTGAAGATGGCGTTGACTAGCCATTTACACTCCATAATATATGGAGAAAAAAGCAGGAAATCATAAAATCTCATGAAAAACAGAAACTTTTCTTCAGATTGTGACTGAATCACGCAGAAAGCAAGTAAAATGCGCTCCTTCTGTAATGGTGGGAGATTTCGGTCAGTCCAGTGTGGCGCTATAGAACATTATATTACATTTTTCCCTATAAAAATGAGTTTTTTGCACAATTGCGAGTGCTTGTTGACTTAAAACGTGTTTTAAAACATATCTTTTTAACATTAACATGTTTTATTGAGACTTCTGCACTTGATCTGTATATTTGGCGTGTGTGTGGTGTGTTTTGTGTTATGCAGTGACCTGTGTATTGCTTGTGAGGTGTTATGAAAGGCGCCATTGAATAAAATGCATAATTATTATTATGATGATGATTAAAAATCCCCCAGAGCTTAGTTCATGAGCGAACACATGACCGAACTCATGCCGCTCCCCCTCAGGCATCTGCTGGTGAACCCCCGAGACCGGCGCGTGGTGGTCGTGGAGTCGCTGCTGTGTCCCTCACACTTCCGGGAGACGCTCTCCAGGGTCTTCTTCAAGCACTTCGAGGTGAGCTCGTCTAATCCACCCTCCGCTGGCCACAGCTTGCTGACCTCAGATCAGGGGATTCGTTCAAATCCGCGTTATGACACTCTTATGATTAGCTCTGATCTCAGAAACTTGTTCTAATCTGGGTCTGAGTGTGCTTTACTGTAATCAGGTGATCTGTCAATATAGAGTTAATTCATGTTTACAATCTATTCTAAATAATGCAAGCAACATGCTATTCTTGTGGAAATTATATTATTTATAATGTTACAAAAGATTCTATGTGAAGGACATGATGTTCTTTTGAACTTTCTATTCATCAAATAATCCTGAAACATTAAATTATCAGTTTTCACAAACATATGAAACACTGAAAATAATCTTAACTGTGTCTTGATCATCAGATCCTCATATTAGAGTGATTTGTGAAGGATCATGTGACACTGAAGACTGGAGTAATGATGATAAATTCAGGAATAAATTACACTTTACTGTATATTCACATAGTCAACTATGGAAGCTTGTTTTCGCCACTATATAAAAAAATAATTGCGACTTTATTTCTCAGAATTCCGCCTTTTTTCTCACAATTGCGAGTTTACATCTCGCAATTCTGACTTTACATCTCGCAATTCTGACTTTACATCTCGCAATTCTGACTTTATATCTCACAATTCTGACTTTACATCTCGCAATTCTGACTTTATATCTCGCAATTCTGACTTTACATCTCGCAATTCTGACTTTACATCTCGCAATTCTGACTTTACATCTCACAATTCTGACTTTACATCTCGCAATTCTGACTTTATATCTCGCAATTTTTACTTTACATCTCGCAATTCTGACTTTACATCTCGCAATTCTGACTTTACATCTCGCAATTCTGACTTTATATCTCGCAATTCTGACTTTACATCTCGCAATTCTGACTTTACATCTCGCAATTTTTACTTTACATCTTGCAATTCTGACTTTACATCTCGCAATTTTTACTTTACATCTCGCAATTCTGACTTTACATCTCGCAATTTTTACTTTACATCTCGCAATTCTGACTTTACATCTCGCAATTCTGACTTTACATCTCGCAATTTTTACTTTACATCTCGCAATTCTGACTTTACATCTCGCAATTTTTACTTAATATCTCGCAATTCTGACTTTACATCTCGCAATTTTTACTTTATATCTCGCAATTCTGACTTTACATCTCGCAATTTTTACT